TGTACAATTTAACAGGGATTTGGATGATTCCATCATTGGGGACTGGTTGTGCAACTATAAGAAAAGCTTGTGGATCAACTTGCATCTCGAGCAACAGATTGGGGACCGATGGTGCAATTTTCTGTTTATATTATGATCAAATCTAACTCTAATTATTGACATGTTTTTACTCTTTCTTCTATAAACCGAGCCTTCTTTTGCATGCAGATTACTGGTGATAAGCAAGGTGCCGTGTTTGGTGGGTTACTTGAATGCCCCCTAAAGCCTACTGCAAAGAGAAGATATCAAGTAAATTATATGCTTCATCTACTTGAAGAGATGCTGGAATAATTCGATATAAAATCATGGAATCTACTGCACTTTCACATTGCTACATGCTAAACAAATACATGTTTCTGTAAGTACTGCAGGGATTGTGTGTGTGTGTGTATTGAGAATGTTGACATAAGATATATGAAAGAAACAGTACTTTGTTGAACTGGTCGAAGTCGAAATCTAGGAGTTCACGTTCTTTCTTTACTTGAATAGGTGCCAACAGATTTTTTTACTTGTGCTTGAACGACTTCATTGCACTTGGAGGTGGTGCAAACTTTGCTTTATGCTTGAATGAAGATCTGTAAGTTCTTTATCAAGCATACTTTGAAATTGTCTATGTTGTTAATGGTATCTGTAAGATGTACATCTCCCGACCTCATTACTTGTTATTCTATGAAGGTTATCTGGACCTAGTGGCCAGTGGTCCGTGCGAAACATTTGGGAACTTGTGTTTGGCTCATGATCAAGAGTTTGAATTAAAGAATGTTGACGTAATGATTTGTTTTCCAAAACATTAAGAAATAATTTTGATTTATCTACGTCAGAAAACATCAATAAAATATAGTTCTTGATTGCTAGTTTTTTGCACACTTCACTTTGAGGGTTGATCGTGTTTCTTAAGCATAGAAGTCACATTAATGTATTTCTTTTGCCAAATATGTTTGAGCGTTTTTAGAAGTTACTCTTTGTTTGCATTTCCTAGTCCAAAACTTTAGTCCTTGTCTGGCACCGCTAAAAGATCTGATTAAAATTTAAGTTAAAGTCAACAATTAATTTTAACCACACATTTCATTTGATTCACAACTTTTCAACCAAAATCTGCTGTAAAAATCTGATTTTAATTTCTATCGAACATGGTAAGTACAGGCTTTCAAGCTTACCTAAACATGTTTGACTTTTAGAGTTGTTGCACCACCAAGCTTCAATCTACCCCTTCCCCCTGTCCCGCATGCGGTTATTGTACCTATGAAGTTGGTTCTTGCTATGTCGCGACTCTACTAATCGCATTTATCTCCAACTATTGATTCCCTTGTGTTTAAAGAGTTCTTATATGGCAGAAAATATATCTAGCTAGACTTGTATTGCAATATTTGAAAACTGCAGGACAGGAAAAATGGAAATAAAAAATGATCAACAGTAAAAATTGAACTATTTGAGCATGTTTCGTACACACTTTAGTTTCTTTCTATTCCTTAATACTGGTCGATGCTAGACAGCCTATCTTCCAAACAAACCATTATCGTAGTTTACAAGGTATACGTGATTGTATATTCTGAATTGTCATTTCAGTTTTGGAGTTCAAATAACTCGTAGTGGTTTTAACCTTATTTTTGCTCCTTTTCTTCTCTTTGCAGCTGTGGGGTTTTACACGTTTCTCAATACCTTAGTTGAAGCAAGAATTCAGGTTTTGTTTTGTTCTTTTACCCTCCTAAATCATTGATTGTCCAAACCTTTCATATTTTTATTCTGTAGTGAAAATTGCAGTAGTAGTGCCTATATTTTTCATGATAATTTTTTTTGTACATGTTTATATTCATTTCTAGATTTTCATTGCCAAGGCTGGGAACCTTTATGCGAAAGTTGGACACAATTTTCATTGCATGTCACCAGCTAACAAAAATGTTGCTGCAGGTGATTAATTATGCGAAAGATGAATGAATTTGACTCGCTATTTCAAAATCATACATAAAACTTAACTTTGTATTAAAATGATATATAAACTTATTTTTTTATTAATTTAGTAGATGAAGTTCTAAAAGGAAACAAAAATGAAGTTTTGGAGACTTATTTGTAATAAAGAAAAAAGTAAGATGATCAAAATGGAACATTAAGTTGGGTGACTAACAATGTTTTTAACTACCATCTTTATTCGCGTCTGTACCAAAAAATCATTACAGATGTTAAAATGATTTCAATACGTACATTGGGTACTCTCTATCTCTTCAATCCAGCACCATGCATATATTATACAAAAGCCTAAATAAAATTGTACTTACAAATGCTACAGATATCAGAAATACAACGCTTAGCAGCATAACAGCAAAGATAACCCACTGGTACATGCCACGGTCATAAGTTCTTAAAAAGACATAGGAGTTCAGGTAAACATGTTAGTCTTCACTATTTGCTATTCATTTTCACATAGGAATACTCAAAATGGAGCGCACACATCTAGGAGTTCCCACTATTGTTTGTTGAGGGCTTCCCATTTGAAGTGCTACCTGTAGGGATCTCAGCTGCTGCTGCAGTCGGACCTTTGTTGTTCAATTCATCAAAATTTGCTGGATCTAAGTAGGACTGGTATGGAGGCAACCTTGAAAGCAAACGACAAACTTAGCTGTTGCAGGGCATATAAAATGATAACATTATGTTCAGAAAATGTTCACTCCTTTGTACCTGCTTGCTGTTATGGTCTGGCCATCTATATTCATCTTCACATCAAATATATTGCCTGCAAGAATGGCGAATAAATTTCTCCATAATGCAAAATAACCTTGTCGAACACACTAGCTTGAGATTTCCAGCAATCATAATGATTGGGCATAACAATGGTTAGGAAAAAACAACAAATAATAGGACATGTAACATAACTTTCAAGGTATCAAAGAACGTATAGACCATTTCTCAAGCTAGTTAATATGGGATTTGAGAATAGATGTTGGCCTGTAATATGCTACTAGGGAAACACATAAAGGGTGCAGACGAGTTCCATAAATTTCCCATAGTAGAAAAGCTATTAGATGAAATAATAATAATAATAATAAAGGAAAAGGAAAATTATGGATAAGACTTGACTTCATTCTCCTCTGTGTCTGGGGGAGGGGCTCATGTGAAGATTCAATCCACATTTTCAGACTTGTGAACACAATCTAAGGCTTGTTATATGCAAGGAAAGGAGTTTACCTCCAAAAATAGTTTTGTCTGAGAAGTATTTTGACATCAGGTAACGTTTATAATCAGCCTCATACTTTTGGAATTTATCAATTTGTTCCTTGTTATCAATGTCCCTATACAAACAAGAGAAAAATTAATTTCACATACGAATTTAGTGAAGAGGAATGAGTTAAAAATGTTACACCTGCCAACTTATAAAAAGAAAGACACAGGAGACATGAAGATTCACAATGAAATTGCTACAACATGAAATTTTGCAGCTACAAAATGAGCATCCTGAGAAAATGAACATTACTATTTGGTTGGTAAACTATAAAAGTTTGGATTTCCTCACCAGTGCAAAAAGAAAATCTGTTTATTTTCTCTTATGAAAATTAATTGCATCTAGGCTTTTAGCCTAGATAGATATGCAGTACAAAATAGCCACAAATTGAACAGGCCTTCGACAATAACCAGAACATTGTCCTGATGTTCTCTAGTTCTTCATGAAAATAGGTAAGTTGAATGATTAATCCTTGATCCTTTATATTAAGACTACATGTCCTATAAAATCTTGAGTACAGCAATTTGTGCGACTATCTAGAATAACTTGAATTTGAATCATTCTCTCACTTTACATATCAACATTTGTGTGAATATGATAAAGGCATGAAATATAGCTATATGCGTTAAAAAATTTCCAAATGCCCTCATCTTCTTCAAGCCACAAAGGTAAAGTTTTTACCCAAGGGAGGATGATAATGCCTCAAAACTAAAATTCTGTCTAGGCCAGTAGCTGATAAAACAAATAGAAAAAGAACAATTCCATCATATTGAGTATGATTGTATATGTGGTAGCATCTACCGTACCAGTAATATCAAGAAGGATTTATCTAAACCAATCACCCAATCATAACCAGGGTAATTCAACTTTCATCCTGAGTGCTTGTAAAAACAGAAAGTCTTTCACGTTATTGCCTGATGCCTATCACATTACAACTTCAAGTCCTTTGTGTGGGCAACGAAAGAAAATACATTTGTGTAGATATAGGACTGAGGAGTCCCATTCAGTAATTTCTGTTATGCCTCATTTTCAATAATTAGAGATGCAGTGGCACATTTTTTGTATTTCTATTTTTTTCACTGGAAACAGCTAAGACAGATTTTGATTGCACATGTGAAACAACTAAATTAAGGAAGAACTGAGCATGTTAGAACTTACATATCTCATAAGAAACCTCATCCTCATCCTAATATTTTATATTAATTACATAAGTAAAACAAGAATGTCCAGTTTCAGAACTATAACTAAGACCATACACCCATATAATAGTGGGATGTATGACAAAGAAAGAATGAGGAAACAGCTCACATGGTGTAACGACTTGCCTTCAAAACTCGTGTTTGTCGGTGATCGGCGTGGAGAACTAGAAACAAAAAAAAAAAAGTTCAAAGGTGGTTTTGAAAAGTTCGTGCTCTAGAGAAAAATATACTTTTCCAGTGGTCTTTCAATTTTCAAAAAAGAGGGAAGCAGTTCAGAGTTTGTTCCTGCTTTATGTCGAAATTGTTTAGTTTGGGAGACATTGAAACATTGAGAAACATAACCAGGTACTTGTTTTAAGCCTGGATTACTTCAGTCATAATAATTAAACAATCTAATTCAGAAATCCATGGCACCTCATTAGTTCTTTACAATTCCAGGACGAAAACTATGTGACCATTTAAGTGAATTACTTAAACAATCTTCCTATTTACAACTAATGACAATGCAAAACACCCCCACTGCAATTATATGACCATTTAAGTAAATTACTTATGATCTCAAAAAAATCACTTGCGTTCAAATGTGGCAAGCTGGTTAAAAAATAGAAACCATCCAGCGTTTACTTCTTATCTAATTGGTATGGGAACAATCAATAAGCTGATGTTACAAGATTCCATAACTAACCCTAGTGTTGCAAAAAACAAAGAGTTAAGAGGTTTACTTCTTATCTAATTGGTATGGGAACAATCAATAGGCTGATGTTACAAGATTCCATAACTAACCCTAGTGTTGCAAAAAAAAAAAGAGTTAAGAGGTAATAACTTATAAGTGCACTATACCAGATACACGGCATCAAGTTAAATCTAACCACATTGATATGAATTTTCAGTAAGACATTTTTCTATTGTCCCATGAGAACATTTGGTCATTTACCCATTTCTTGGACTTGGATTAAATTCACCAATCCATATAGTTCATTCAGTTTATTGTTCCCACTTTTATCTCCATTTCTCAAAGTCCCCCTTCAACATCTAAATTCCTTAAAGGTATAATTTAAAAAAAAAAAAAAAGTGAATTCTGTTATTATGGAATACAATTGAAACCAAAAGTGAAGGTGCGTGCATGCACACCACAGAAGAGTTCTTATAAACATCGAATTAACAAAAAGTCGACCAATTCAATATGCACAGAAAAAACACATATTTATACGTAGGTTTCAGGTGAACTCACTCAAATGGGTCTTTGGTAGATCCTTTGTTTTGCTCCTCGGAATCCTTATTTACACTCGAAATACCCTTCGAAAATCAAAAAGTTAGGAACGAAGATGCCCAAAATAATTATTAATAAAAAATAAAAGCTTAAATGCGGCCAATATGTTTGTATAAAGGAAGATGAAGAAACGCCAACCGCACCTGTTGTTCTTGTTCTGGTAAAGGAGGAGGAGTGATGGAAGAGACGGAATTTGAAACGGAGTTAGAGGATGAAGCTGCTGCCGCCATTGGAGAGCTTTTGAGTGGAGACGAGTTACGGAGAACAAAGGAAGGCGCTTTATGACTTGTACTTGTAGCTGGCGACATTTATATATTTTCCTTGAATAAACTAAAAATAAATAAAAGGGTAAAATCCTCGATCACCAAGCTAATAAGTAAGAATTAAGGGTAATTGACTCAACACTCCTTATATTTATTGGTTTGTGTAATGTCCTCGTGACTTTTTATTTTGACGCAAAACTCTCCCGATCAATCAAATCTTGCATAATATTCGGTGTTGTCAATTTTCGTTAGTTTCTTCAATAACATGTCTTGCGAAGACCAAAATGAATAAAATTACCAAGGACTTTTCCTTCTCTTAGAGCTTGTTTCTCCCATTATGGGAGAAAGAATGATGTTTTGAATAGTATTTTTTGGAGAATGTGTGGTTAAAATTGAAAGAAACTTTATTGGTTTATGTGTAGAATATTTTATTATTTGAATGTGTGGTGGAGATTGATTACTGTAGAAAACAATATTTTGAAAAATGGTTTTAGAGAATGTGTGGTTAAAATTGAAAGAAATTTTATTGATTTATGTGTAGAATATTTTATTATTTGAATATGTGGTGGAGATTGATTACTTTAGAAAACAATGTTTTGAAAAATGGTTGACAAACAGAGGCTAAATCTCCCGATGAAATGTAGTTTGTGTGGTGGTATAGAGCACAACAGAAGAAGCTGGACCAGAAGACTACCAACAGCTGCAAATTAATTTGATGATTTTTTTTTTTTTTTTGACAAATTGTAACGGACAGATCATTGGAGATAATACATGGTCTGCTAAGATCCAAGAATGTACACGAACAACAAGTTTTGGAATTGTAGAGACAGAAGAATGCTTTTGAATTTAAAAGCAAAGTTTTTAGATTATTTTGTGGTTTTGTTGTAATATGAATAGTGAATGGTGGAAATTAGACGACTAATTTTGTCTTCGATTGATTGGATATAAGTTATCTAAATTGTGTTGTTGCAATTATCGTATTGGTTTAATGTATTTGCTTTTCGTGTAGTTGTATCATGAAGTGTTCTAATGTAATATAAGTTGAATTTATTTATTTATTTATTTTTTCATTTTGCTCTTAGTTTGAACTTAGGGTTGGGCAAAATATCCGAACCGAACCGAATCGAATCGAGCGGGTTTTTTAAAATGAAATACCCGAACGGGTATCCGAATCGAGAACCGAATGGTTTGGTTCGGTTCTCGGTTCTCGACCAAGAACCGAAGAATCGAATAAGAACCGAATTTTTTTTTATATTNGAAGCAAAGGAATTATTGATATGAATATTGAAGTTTTATTAGTAATATTTACTTTTTGATATTTGTATTTAACAACTTATTATTTATATGTTATTAAATTAGATTACGTTAATTTATAAAAGTTAAGATTGAACTTGGTATTTGTATCTACTTTTTGTTATTAATATTAGTATCCACTTTCAGGTGTATTTATGTAGTATTATTTTAAATATTAAAAAATTTAATTGTAGTACGGAACCAAACCGAAATCGAACGGTTCCAAAATTATATTTGGAACCGACGGTTCCATTTATTAAATACCCGAAAATTTCTGGAACCGAAAAAAATCGAACCGAACCGAACCTACCCGCGCCCACCCTTATTTGAAATTGAGTGTGAACTCGTATTGAGGAAGAAGAAAGGAACAGGTGAATTGGCACACGTTTGTATGTAAATCAATCCTGAGTTTGAAACCTTTGCGGAATACAATCCTATCTTTTGGTAACTTTGTGGAATACAACCCTATAATTTGTAAACTTTGCGTAATATCCCCTACCTTTCTAACAACTGCTTAAATCAAACTAGACTAGCAGAATTAGAATAAACCGGAAAGTGTACAAAAGATAGCCCACTATACTTGCAAACTGTCCAAAACTTGCCAATTACAATCTATCTAAAAAGACATTGAAGAAAATTCATATAAAATATGTCCATTACAATCTATTCAAAGAAAAATTCATCAAATTAATTTGCATCTAGTGGTTGTCTTCCGGTGCAGCTCTACCGCCATCACCATTCCGTTTCTTGAGAGTGAGGAATGATGAGACGAAAAAGTCCTTGATGATTTTATTGATGTAACCTCTGAAAGGCATTTTAGTGAAGAAACTAATATAAATTGACAGCCGTTGACAAGGGTACAAGGTTTGTCTGATCTGGAGGGTTTTACACCAAAATGAAAAGTTATTGCACCAATTATCCAATAAATAACCTTTTTAAAATTGTGTGCACCATATCTCACTCATGCCATCGAATGAAATGGCTGCAAAAGCAGTCACTTAGGCAAGCCAATGAGTGGCTCGCTTGTGGCCGACCATCAGTGGCTAGCCGGCAAACAAAAGTTTTGGACTTGGCTTCCACTCGTTGCCATCTCTAAAAGGAAGTGGTCATTAGGGACCATTTGGATTTTGTTATTTTAGAGGGCGAGTGACTACATGGCCATTGCATTGCAGAATGGACTCCGGTTTGCCAAGGCCAATGGCCTTCAAGTTGGTGTCTCAGAATGATGCTCAACGGGCAGTTCCTGGATGAGAGAAGCGCTAAAGAAACTATCCATATACTCCTCAATCAGCAGAAACAATAAGCATTTGCAATATTCTATCTGATTATCCATGTTTTACATTGTTCAGTATCAATGGCACATTACAATCGTTTACATAGAAGGAATAACAATTCCAGCACGTCTTATAGAGAGGGAAACGTTTAAATCATACAAATCAAAACCCAGCAATTAAATTTGTTACGAACAAAAAGGAAAATTCGCGAAAGAATGCTAGACAAGTTGGCAGCGCTTCAGATCTATTTCTTCTTACTCCTCATGAATTGATCCCAAATTCAGTTATGCTTTCAACCTTGACTACTTCAGCCCCATGGCAACAGTCATTGCAGCAACAGCAGGGATAGCTACTAGACTCGGTGCTGCCAGAAATACAATGAACATTGCTTTACGACTCTGATGAACCATCTTCCCCGACCAGGGGCAGCCCAAATATTCTGAGGTTTCTATCCATAGATCCCACAGCTATATAGTTTGCATCTGGACCAAACTTTACACATGTTGCTTTACCTGCATTCACAAGGGTGATTATAACCTCCAGAGTTGAGCAAAATTTCTTGCACCATAGCAGAGAAAACGACTATAGCATACAGAGCCATAATATTAGACCATACCGGAGAATATAGTCAACAAGACATTCTTAACACCATTCAGTGTGGTCTAACACATCTTACCAAACATGCGATTGTGTTAAATGCCAAGTCTGTGAGGTGCAAAAAGTCATTGGTACAGAGTGAGAGGATCTAACCTGTGCCTGACAAGTCAGGGAAGGTTTTGATGCAGTTCCATTCAGACTTGACATTGGCAACTTGATAAACTCTGTCATACCACACAGCACATAGACGTTAGCTTTTAAGATCACAACAAAGGCTGACATGTACAGTGAATAAAATGGCTAGCAATCATCATATGAGTACAGTGAGAACATATATAATTCCAAGTTATTGGGATAATCAAAGATGGGACGAGAAATGGAAATAATGAACAGTGATATTGATATATATATATCTACCCATGACTAAACCAACACTTGTAAGTTTTATTTGAAATATTACCGTATATCTGAGCCTCCAAGTGCAAGGTAACTTCCACTATGGTCAAATTCAACTTCAAAGTAGGAAAAAAAATGGTGAGCATCAGATTTTCAGAGAAAATAATCCATAAAAATGAACATCTGGTGCAAGTAAAAAATTACAGCTGGACAAACTTGTGAGGATATCTTCTCTTTCTTTTTATTTACTATATAAATATGGGGAGCACTGCTTCTACCAATGTTTTTGACAGATAATTTTGACAAATAATCTAAACCCTTAAATTGAATCAAATCTAATGGTTGCAATCAATTATACTAAAATCCTTAAAAAAATTATACCCCCACATCCAAACATACAATAATTACCTTTTAAAAATCACCGATTACCATTTTTAGAGGAAAAGTGAGAGAGAATCATTATCCCGATTCTTCTTTGCAGTTCGTCGGCTTCATCCATCATCTCCTATCCAATCATTAAGTTTTAAAAGAGATGAACCATAATTCCTTTTAAAACAAATAGCCGGTCTCCTATCTCCTATTCATCTTCATCTCCTATGCAGAAAAATATGAACTTATCTGGACAGGAGATGATGGATGAATAGGAGAAACGAGATCGGCTACTTTTTTTAAAACGAATTATGGTTCATTTCTTTTAAAACGTAATAACTGGATGCCGATCTGCAGAGAAGAAGCGGGATGATGATTCTTTCTTTCTTTCTTTCTTTCTTCCCTAGAAAATATAGGTTCTTTAGGTGGTAATTGACTATTTTTAAGAGGTTAATTATTGAATGTTTCGAATTTTAGTATAATTGATTGAGACCATTACATTAGATTCAATTTAAGGATCAGATTATTTGTCAAAATTATGTCATAAACATTGGTAGAGGGAACGCCCCCCTATAAATATAAAGCATGGTTAAATGTGCAAATTTCAACCTCCAGCCAAACATAGAAAAGATTGTATTGTTTGTTTGTTCTATTTTCTGAAACTAGAATAACATCTAAGACATGCTCTTGACCTGTCCCGTAACGTATTAGATGGCTTTCAGGTATGTTCCTAGCAATGCCTTACAAGTTACAAATACTGCTGATAATCAAGAACAGGAGACCACAACTTTCTAGTTTCGCTCTCACAAGCCACAATCTAGACAACGCTAAACATAAGTATATGCTAGACATGAAGGTAAAAGCACCTGATTGTGTCGGTGTATTTTCATCATAAGGAGTAAAAGTCCTAAAGTTCTTCAATTTGCGCAGATCCCAAAGCTTAACACCATCTTGAGCAGCAGTCTGGAAAAATTGGAAATCAATCAGACAATGGAATTTTATCATTTTCAGCCAAGTTGTTTTTGTTACTTGAAGAAGAAAACCTACAGCTAGGAAGTAACCGTTCTCTGAAAATGAAATTGCAGTTACTGCCCCAACATGCCCATCAAATCTCGC